TTGTGGAACCGAGAGAACACTACATATTTAGATAGACGTATGCTTCAAATGATTATTGGGAAGTAGACAAAAAGAATACCTGTGCTGTATTCCTGAGGTTGCAGCTGCTTTGCCCGGGCTTTGTCCACCAACTCTTTCCACTTTCTCGACAATGAATAAATATCAACCTTAAAGAAACAATAGAACATTGAAGTAAGTATATAAACATGCCCCAGAACAAGGTATCCATCAAGTAAGCTAAGACTGCCTATAGAAGTTTACCTTATCAGCATTCTGCAGCACAGGAGTAATCAACCCACCATCTATGGCCACTGCAACTGCAATGTTGATACTATTGTTGTATGTAAAGCTCTTCCCATCTCTACAACTTGAATTCACAACAGGGTGTTTAGTCAATGCAAGCGCTGTGGCCTTGGCTAACAGTGCTGTCATAGTCACTCCCTTCCCCTTAATCTACAAATTGATACATGTAGATGATGATAGTAAACATATACAATGATGGAAAAACATAAAGAACAAATGCTAAAAAAAAAGCTGCACTTCATATAAAGTTTACATGACCTGTAGACAACCATCATGAGAACATTATTTTGTTGGATAACCTAAAACCCTGTTTCAACCCCAGGCAATCCTAGTGCCCTAAAACTCCTCCGCTTTGTGAAGGTTGAAGCAGAAGCAGAAGCAGAAGCATTTGCATATGGCCTTTCATTTTCTATTAGCAAACAGGTCATTATCATGATCCAACAACCCTCTGGTCAAAAGGAGCATCGGCTTGCTTGTAGAATTCTACATTTCTACTCTTCTTTTTCTTTTGAATAAAAACACTCATTCCACAAGTAATAAAGCCTCAATATCAATTTCAACTAGTTCATGTAAACTTCAAAACCATGCAGATTCATTCAAACAAAATGGAAATGAACAGCCAATTACAGTTGGATAATAACAATTGATCAAAAGTTTACCTTTTTATAGAGTGCATCAAGGGCATCAGTGGTAATTGTATACCCCACTCTGAATGTAGGCACTCCAAGACTCTCAACCATGTTCCTACTRACAGCACCCTGCATTGTAGTAAAYGGAACAACAGAACCCAACTCAATCCCTGGAGCAGTAGACAGCGGCTTAGTTGGCTCAGCCGCTGCAGCAACAGCAACAGCCCCAGCAACAACTGCAGCCTCTACATCTTTGGCCACAATCCTTCCCATCGGTCCACTACCAACCACACCACTCAAATCAACATTCAATTCCTTAGCAAGCTTTTTCGCATAGGGAGATGCCACAATCCTCTTCCCTCCATCAGAAGCTGGGTGTGTTGAAGCCACCATCGTTACTGTAACCGGCTTCACTACAGTTGCAACAGGGAYGGAATCWGGTATTTTTGTTTCTACTGGAGGAGGCGATGAGGGAGCAGCAGATGAGGATGAGGAAGAAGATTGTTCTTTCGCCTTGGATGTAGCTTGGGGAATTTCGTCTTCAGTCTCTGCAAGGAGGGCAATAGCGGAGCCGACGGCAGCAACTCCGCCTTCTTCAACCATGATGGCAGCCAAATAGCCGTCGTAAAATGTCTCAACATCCATGTCGGCTTTATCAGATTCTACGACGACAACTGACTCGCCTTTAGAGAGCTTGTCGCCTTCGGACTTCACCCAAGAGACGATCTTTCCTTCAGTCATGGTGGAACTCAATGCCGGCATGAAGATCTCTCGAATCTTGGCTTGAATTTGGGGTTTTCGGGAGGTGGGTTGAGTGAGTGAAGGCATAGATTGACGGCGAAGGCAGGGAGAGGTGGGAGTGAAGGAAGAGTTGAGGAGTTGAGCCATCATTGATTGTTGTGGTCGATTTCTTAAAGACTGCAGACAATGGCAAATCCAGGATCTTTTGTTAGTGTTGGCACAATAATTAAGGGGTGGGCTAAATGCACCCTTATGCATTGCTAAATGCACCCCTATCCATGAATTTCTTCCTCATACACATCAACATCAATACATGCTTTTTACATTCCCAATGCCTGAAATGACCTGATTCTGACATGAAAGGGGGTGCAAATAGCATTCTCCAAAATTAATTACTCTATATTAAATAAAATGTTATTTAATTATGAAATAAAAATAAAATATTATTTAATTATGAAATAAAAATTTCTTATAAAATAATTACAGGGGATCAGTTTGTCCATTTTGGGTCAATTTTCAAGCTCGTTGCCTGGTGCTTCTTGTGAAATGACAGGCAAGAAAGTTTCGGACATATTGACACCAAATACAATAGTAAACTCTAAGAAATCAATTCCAAACAGAGAGCTTATATTCAAACAGAATAAGAAATAAGGTATTCAGATTAAACAAAATAACATCAGCATTCAGCAGCAAATCAAATGAATAAGCAATAGATTCCAGCAGCAAATCAGATTGAATAAATGCAGCAGTAAATGAGATTAACAACTACAACCAGGGCCTGTCCTGATCTTTTTGATGCTCACAGCAGAAACCAAAAAAATGCCCCCAATATACTATACTATCTTATAAAGCATTTAAACTGAAGTCCTAAAAACAACCTATAAAGCATATGGTACTGCTTTTTAATGCATAATTTCTTAAAATGTCCTAATTACGACATTATAAGCTTAATGTACAACTTATCAATGCTATACTCAGAATTTAGGTTCCCACCACTATCTCAGACATGCTCTCATTGCTTCCCTCAATCACAAATTGATTTCCCCAAGATGACTATAATACCCCGTATTTAGAAAATCTAATCTTATAGCCGAAAGCCCAATTATGTTCAATTTTTGAAATCGTGCTTTGTTGACTTGTATCTTAGTATTCAAGAGTTGTTCATTAAGGCAAGTTC